ACAAAGTGGAATCCATGACATGCGAGTGCGGAGAAGAGGAAACCACTGACCACCTGCTGCAATGCAACCTGAGCCCAGCCACATGATGCACAAGGGAGGACCTTCTTGCGGCAACACCAGAGGCACTCCCAAGTGGCCAGATACTGGTCAAAGGACATTTAATCAACTACCAAACTCACAAATTTTGTATTTTGTCTGTTTGTTTGCTTTGTTCTGTTAGAAATGTAATAGAACTGACTGGTTGCCCTGAGATGACAAACAAACAAATAACCACAATAATTGGAACATTCAATTAATACAATAACAACTAAAAAGCCAATCTAGTGGCCAAACGTTCACCGAGTTCTAAAATCCGTAAGTCCATTCAGCATTACCATAGTCCTTTCCAAATTCTGGTCGTCATTACCTTGTCAGTCTGCCAGATTACCCAAAAGCCTGGTCCCATATCCATGTTTTCAGCTTCCTTCTGAAGGAGAGGAGGGATGTTGATGACCTAATTTCCCCGGGGAGTGAATTCCACAGGCAAGGGGCCACCACTGAGAAGGCCCTGTCCCTTGTCCCCACCAACTTCACTTGTGACATGTCACTAAACGCACTTTACTAATGATCTAGGATTGTCTGCTTGCTCCCTCTCTCTCCAAATACCTATCGTAGTTATAGGTCACCTTGTCATGCCCAGCATTTTTTTAAATTTTTAATTATTACATTTGGCCCTGCCATACTTTTTTAATGCGTCGTAGTGTTATTGTTACTGTTTATTGCTTTGTTTATGAGTTTAGTTACTCTCTGTATTGCTGTTGTTGCTGTTTTTACTGTTGTATTTGGGCTCGGCCTCTTGTAAGCCGCACCGAGTCCTTCGGGAAATGGTAGCGGGGTATAAATAAAGGATTATTATTATTATTATTATTATTATTATTATTATTATTATGCGTTTCAGCAAAGTCTAATGTGCATAGCGTAGACCTGAAAAATTGTGTGACCTAAATATTTGAAAAACACACAAACAAGCTTCATTTAATGAGAGACTGCCTATAGGGCTCAAAGTTTACTTCCTGTCAGTTGCCTGTGGGACTTCGTTTCTGGAGTGTGTAGAAACAGAAGTTTTGGGAGTTGGGGGACGAATGGACTCCAGAGCTCCTCGCTCAAAGACGTCTCAAGAATGATGCCTTGCCCCTCCTTTAGAGTAAGGGGATTGGGGGGCAAAGAATCCCATAAAAGCAATGTAATAAATCTATATAAATAAAAATGTAATGTTGGTTTGTGGGGTTAACAGAACTCAAAAAACCACTGGACGAATTGACACCAAATTTGGACACAAGACACCTAACAACCCAATGTATGTCCTTCACTCAAAAAAAAATAATTTTGTCATTTGGGAGTTGTAGTTGCTGGGATTTACAATTCACCTACAATCAAAGAACATTCTGAACCCCACCAAAGATGGAATTGAACCAAACTTGGCACACAATTCTCCCATGACCAACAGAAAATATTGGAAGGGTTTGGTGGGCAGTGTCCTTTGGTTCTGGAGTTGTAGTTCACCTATTTCCAGAGAGCACTGTGGACTCAAACAATGATGGATCTGGACCAAACTCTACATGAAGACTCAATATGCCCAAATGTGGACACTGGTGGAGTTTGGAGAAAATAGAATATTGACATTTGGGAGTTGTAGTTTCTGGGATTTATAGTTCACCTACAATCAGAGAGCATTCTGAACCCCACCAACAATAGAATTGGGCCAAACCTCCCACACAGAACCCCCATGTGGGCCACAGCAACGCGTGGCAAGGGATGGTTAGTAAATAATAAATACTTTATTTATAGACCACCCTCTCTCTGCCTAACATCGGTTGTGATTTAAAATATATCATAGCAGCCATACAATAAGAATAAATTAGCCAGTGGTCCAATGAGATTGGTTTAAGATAGAATCATAGAATCATAGAATCCAAGAGTTGGAAGAGACCTCCTGGGCCATCCAGCCCAACCCCATTCTGCCAAGAAGCAGGAATATTGCATTCAAATCACCCCTGACAGATGGCCATCCAGCCTCTGTTTAAAAGCTTCCAAAGAAGGAGCCTCCACCACACTCCGGGGCAGAGAGTTCCACTGCTGAACGGCTCTCACAGTCAGGAAGTTCTTCCTCATGAATGAAGCTCAACAATTGAATGAAGTTCAACGGGGACAAATGCAAGATACTCCACTTAGGCCAGTGGTTCTCAACCTGGGGTCCCCAGATGTTTTTGGCCTACAACTCCCAGAAATCCCAGCCAGTTTGCCAGCTGTTAGGATTTCTGGGAGTTGAAGGCCAAAAACATCTGGGGACCCCAGGTTGAGAACCACTGACTTAGACAGAAAAAACGAAATGTGAAGATACAGAATGGGGGACAATGAGGTCTGGCTCCAGAGCAGTACGTGTGGAAAAGATCTTGGAGTCCTCGTGGACAGGAAGTTAAACATGAGCCAACAATGTAATGTGGCGGCAAAAAAAAAAAAAAAAAAAAGCCAATGGGATTTTGGCCTGCATCAAGAGGAGCATAGTGTCTCCATCCAAGGAAGTCATGCTCCCCATGCTCTATTCTGCCTTGGTTAGACCACTTTACCTGGAATATTGTGTCCAATTCTGGGCACCACAATTGAAGAGAGATATTGACAAGCTGGAATGTGTCCAGAGGAGGGCGACTCAAATGATCAAGGGTCTGGAGAACAAGCCCTATGAGGAGCGGCTTAAGGAGCTGGGCATGTTTAGCCTGAAGAAGAGAAGGCTGAGAGGAGATATGATAGCCATGTATAAATATGTGAGAGGAAGCCACAGGGAGGAGGGAGCAGATCAAGGGTGTGGAGAACAAGCCCTATGAGGAGTGGCTTAAGGAGCTGGGCATGTTTAGCCTGAAGAAGAGAAGGCTGAGAGGAGATATGATAGCCATGTATAAATATGTGAGAGGAAGCCACAGGGAGGAGGGAGCAGATCAGGGGTCTGAAGAACAAGCCCTATGAGGAGCGGCTTAAGGAGCTGGGCATGCTTAGCCTGAAGAAGAGAAGGCTGAGAGGAGATATGATGAGGGCCATGGATAAGTATGTGAGAGGAAGCCACAGGGAGGAGGGAGCAAGCTTGGTTTCTAATGCTCTGGAGACTAGGATGCAGAACAATGGCTTCAGACTACAGGAAAGGAGATTGCCCCTTGCCACCCCTCCAGGGGTCTCGACCCCCAGGTTGAGAAATGTTGCTCTAAGGCAGGCATCCTCAAACTGTGGCCCTCCAGCTGTTTGGGCCTCCAACTCCCAGAAGCCCTAACAAGCTTGTTCAATGCTCTGGAATTCTGGGAGTTGGGGGCCAAAACAGCTGGAAGGCCACAGTTTGAGGATGCCTGCTCTATGGGAAGATAACTGGAAAATAGAAGGAGAAACCGTGGAGGCCGTGACAGACTTTGTATTTCTAGGGGCAAAGATTACTGCAGATGCAGACTGTGGCCAGGAAATCAGAAGACGCTTACTTCTTGGGAGGAGAGCAATGTCCAGTCTCGATAAAATAGTAGAGTAGAGACATCAGACTGGCAACAAAGATCCGCCTAGTCAAAGCCATGGTATTCCCTGTAGTCACCTACGGATGTGAGAGCTGGACCTTAGGGAAGGCTGAGCGAAGGAAGATCGATGTTTTTGAGCTGTGGTGTTGGAGGAAAGTGCTGAGAGTGCCTTGGACTGCGAGAAGATCCAACCAGTCCATCCTCCAGGAAATAAAGCCCGGCTGCTCATTGGAGGGAAAGATACTAGAGACAAAGTGGAAGTCCTTTGGCCACATCATGAGGAGACAGGAAAGCCTAGAGAAGACAATTATGCTGGGGAAAGTGGAAGGCAAAAGGAAGAGGGGCCGACCAAGGGCAAGATGGATGGATGGCATCCTTGAAGTGACTGGACTGACCTTGAGGGAGCTGGGGTGGTAACGGCCGACAGGGAGCTCTGGCGTGGGCTGGTCCATGAGGTCACGAAGAGTCGGAGACGACTGAACGAATGAACAACAAGCTCTATGGCAGTGTTTCTCAACCTGGGGGTCGGGACCCCTGAGGGGGTCGCAAGGGGGTGTCAGAGGGGTCACTGAAGAGCATCAGAAAACATAGTATTTTCTATTGGTCACGGGGGGTTCTGTGTGGGAAGTTTGGCCCAATTTTATCTTTGGTGGGGTTCAGAATGCTCTTTGATTGTAGGTGAACTAGAAATCCCAGCAACTACAATTCCCAAATATCAAGGTCTATTTTCCCCAAACTCCACCAGTGTTCACATTTGGGCATGCTGAGTATCAGTGTCAAGTTTGGTCCAAATCCATCATTGTTTGAGTCCACAGTGCTCTCTAGATGTAGGTGAACTACAACTCCAAAACCCAAGGTCAATGCCCACCAAACCCTTCCAGTATTTTCTGTTGGACGTGGGAGTTCTGTGTGCCAAGTTTGGTTCAATTCCATCATTAGTGGAGTTCAGAATGCTCTTTGATTGTAGGTGAACTATAAATCCCATCAACTACATCTCCCAAATGACAAAATCAACCCTCCCTCAACCCCACCAGCATTCAAATGTCGGAGTATCAGGTATTTGTGCCAAATTTGGTCCAGTGAATGAAAATACATCCTGTATATCAGATATTTACGTTACGATTCATAACAGGAACAGAATTACAGTTATAAAGTAGCAACAACAATAATGTTATGGTTGGGGGTCACCACAACATGAGTAACTGTATTAAGGGGTCGCAGCCTTAGGAAGGTTGAGAATCACTGCTCTATGGGATGCTGGACCTGTATTGGTCTCAGCCTCAGCCTCCTGTCCGCCTTTTGCCTTCAGGCAGGAGACTGAGGCGCTTGGGATGGCCCTTGGCTCCTTTCCCTGGGGCTCCGCTCGCCATTGGCCGCCGGCTTGGGACTTATGGGGAGGGGGGCGGGGGGGGCGGCCCATGGCAGGCGGGGAAGGAAGGAGAGCGGAGGCGGAGGCGGAGGCTGGGACTGAGTCATTGCGCTCCTGCTGTTGCTGCTGCTAATCCGGGCGGAGAGCACAACACCACCGCCGCCGCCGAGGAAGCCGGAGCCCAGACGGAGGCCCCATGAAGCCGGCCAAGCCCCTCCAGCCCCTCCTGGGGCTCGCCTTCGTCGCCTCTCTCCTGGCCGGGGTCAAGAGTAAGTAGCACGCCCTTCTGAACGCCCCACTCAACCAGGAGGCGCCCCTCGGTGCAGGTGAAGCCTTCCCAAAGCCGCCTCCAACGCTGCATCCAATTGTCGGCTCCGCCAAGGCGGCAGTCTGATTTACTAACAGACTAGCTGTCCCCTGCCAGGCGTTGCTGTGGCCCACTCTGGTGACCTGGAAAATAAAGCAAGTGTTGGTTTCTAATCTATGTCATGTCTTTCTGCTTGTGGGTAAACAGTATTTCTTGCTGTTTCTTTATTAGTGTTGAAATTTTATTATTTTAGGTTCTTGTGGGTTTTTTCGGGCTATAGGGCCATGTTCTAGAGGCATTTCTCCTGACGTTTCGCCTGCATCTATGGCAAGCATCCTCAGAGGTAGTGAGGTCTGTTGGAATAGGACAATGGGTTTATATATCTGTGGAATGTCTGGGGTGGGGCAAGGAGCTCTTCCCTGCTGGAGCTAGGTGTGAATGGTTCAACTGATCACCTTCATTAGCATTTGAAGGCCTGCCTGAGCCTGGAATGTGATCAGTTGAAACATTCACACCTAGCTGCAGCAGGGAAGAGCTCCTTGCCCCACCCCAGCCATTCCACAGATATATAAATCCATTTTCCCAGTTCCAGCAGACCTCACTACCTCTGAGGATGCTTGCCATAGATGCAGGCGAAACGTCAGGAGAGAATGCCTCTAGAACATGGCCATATAGCCCGAAAAAACCTTCAAGAACCTAATTCTAATACAGATTTCCAATCAGTTCTTTGAGGTTTTTTGTAATTCTGAGAGATTCTCAGTGTCAAAATGTCCATGTTCATTATGTCTATTATTTTACTAGCCCAATGTTCCATTGTTGGGATCTCTTTACTTTTCCACATTTTTGCTAGCACCATCCTAGCAGCTGTTGTTAGACAGAAAAACAGTTTATCCTCATTCTTTTCTAACTTCAGATTATGGATTCCTAATAGTAGTATTTCTGGTCTTAGTTCAAATCTTACATTAATATTTTTTTCCATCGTCTTGTGGATTTGTGACCAATATTTTTTTACCTTTTTACAGTTCCACCACATGTGTAGAAATACTCCTTTTTCTTTGCCACACTTCCAGCAACGATCTTTGGTCCTATCTTTGTTAATTTTTGCTAGTATCTCAGGTGTTAGGTACCATCTATAAAAGATCTTATACCAGCTCTCCGTCTGTGTCTTTGTCAGTGTTGATGTGGAGATTGGGTTGCTGTAGGTTTTTTCGGGCTATATGGCCATGGTCAAGAGGCATTCTCTCCTGACGTTTCGCCTGCATCTATGGCAAGCATCCTCAGAGGTAGTGAGGTCTGTTGGAGGTGGATATTGTCTGGTTTGCCTACTCTGGAACATGCAACATATCATTGTCCTTCTTTAGGGGTCCCTTTCACATCTATGTTACTATATCTCTCTCTGTGTATGAATCATTGATTGATTGATTGATTGATTTATTACATTTATATACAGCCCTTCTCAGCCCACAGGTGACTCGGAGCGGTTTACAGTCAATATCAAAGACATAAAATACAATTTAAAAACAATCAATTTAAATATAAAACCAAGTAAAACAATATCAATAGAAACATATATCATTGTCGAAGGCTTTCATGGCCAGAATCACTGGGTTGTTGTAGGTTTTCCGGGCTATATGGCCATGTTCTAGCCCGGAAAACCTACAACAAAACATATATCTATTTGAGTCTCCTACTCATATCTATCTATCTATCTATCTAATTATATCTATGACTGTATGGCTCTTTGTCAAGAGGGCTTTGATTACGTTTTCTTGCCCTGATGAAGGGAGTTGGTTTGGATAGCCTTAAGTATGGGGGTTCTGTGTAGGAAGTTTGGCCCAATTCTGTCGTTGGTGGAGTTCAGCATGCTCTTTGATTGTATGTGAACTACAAATCCCAGTAACTACAACTCCCAAATGTCAATGTTTATTTTCCCCACACTCCGTCTGTGTTTATATTTGGGCCTATGGACTATTCGTGCCAAGTTTGGTCCAGATCCATCATTGTTTGAGTCCATGGTAGTCTCTGGATGGAGGTGCACTACAACTCCCAAACTCAAGGTCAATACCCACCAAACCCTTCTAGTGTTTTCTCTTGGTCATGGGAGTCCTGTGTGCCACATTTGGTTCAATTCCATCATTGTTGGAGTTCAGAATACTCTTTGATTGTAGGTGAACTATAAATCCCAGCAACTGCAATTCCCAAAATGACAAAATCAATCCCCACCCCAACTCCACCAGTATTCAAATTTGGGTATATCGGATATTTGTGCCAAATTTAGTCCAGTGAATGAATATCAGATATTTACATTACCATTCATAACAGTAGCAAAATTGCAGTTATGAAGTAGCAACGATAATAATGTTATAGTTGGGGGTCACCACAACATGAGAAACTCTGTTAAGGGGTCACAGCATTAAGAAGGTTGGGAACCTCTGGGTTAAACCCTTGTGCTGGCAGGACTGAAAACTGACAGGTCAGAGGTTCGAATACGGGGAGAGCGGGTTGAGCTCCCTCTGACAGCTCCAGCTTCTCATGCTGAGAGGTGAGAGAAGCCTCCCACAAGGATGGTAAAACATCAAAAACATCCGGGCGTCCCCTGGGCAACATTCTTGCAGACGGCCAATTTTCTCACAACAGAAGTGACTTGCAGTTTCTCAAGTCGCTCCTGACATAGCGGCTGAGGGGGAAATGGAAGGGGCCTGAGGCTGTTAGGAATGGTGGGAGTTGCAGTCCAAAACACGTGGAGGGCCAGAGTTTGCCCATGCCTGTTCTACATGTAAAGGGTTTATTCTAGCACTGACCTGTGTCACTTGGATGCTTTGTTTAGATTCACGCCTTCTGGCTGTGGTTCTTTAGGGCTAAAACATTCTGCACATGCTCACATGACCATTTAACCATGGCTTTGTTCTCCCAGTAATTCCAGCTCAAACGAAACTTGTAAGTTGGCTTACGGTTATAGCTGCCACATATTTACTACTTTAATTATTCTGGACTAGCCGTCCCCTGCCACATGTTTCTGTGGCCTGGTCTGTGTACATGTGCTTTGTGTATGTATATATTTATGTATATGTGCATATATGTGTGTGTGTGTATGCGTGTGTGTGTGTGTGTGTGTGTGTGTGTGTGTGTGTGTATATATATATATATATATATATATATAAAAATGGTTCTCCATGCAGTCATGCTGGCCACATGACCTTAGAGGTGTCTATGGACAATGCCGGCTCTTCGGCTTAGAAATGGAGATGAGCATGCATGTGTGTATGCATGCATGCGCACGTGTGTGTGTGTGTGTGTATGTATATATATATATAATATATATATATATATATTAATGGTTCTCCATGCAGTCATGCCGGCCACATGACCTTAGAGGTGTCTATGGACAACGCCGGCTCTTTGGCTTAGAAATGGAGATGAGCACCACACCCCAGAGTCAGACACAACTGGACTTAATGTCAGGGGACAACCTTTACCTTTTATATGTGTGTGTGTGTGTGGTTTTGTGCATGTGTTTTAATATACTTTTTATTTTTGGCTTTTTAAGTGCCTTCTGCTGTGTTTTCAGTGTTTTTATGAGTGATGGTCACTCACTGGCCTGATAGGTATCTTGTGTCCAAATTTGGTGTCAATTCATCCAGTGGTTTTTGAGTTGTGTTAATCCCACAAACTAGCATTACATTTTTAGCCTGCTACACATTGCTGTGGCCCAGTCTGTTGATCTGGAAAATAAAGTAATGGGAAAGTTATGGTTTCTAATATATGTAATTTCTTTCTGCTTGTGGGTAAACAATATTTCTTGCTGTTTCTTTGTCAGTGTTGATGTGGAGATTGTCTGGTCTGCCTGCTCTGGAACATGCAACATATCATTATCCTTCTTCAGGGGTCCCTTTCAAATCTATGATACTATATCTGTGTGTGTGAATCATATCTATCTCTATCTATGGCTGGATGGCTCTTTGTCAGGAGGGCTTTGATTACGTTTTCTTGCCCTGGTGAAGGGAGTTGGACTGGATGGCCTTGAGTATTTTCTGTTGGTCATGGGGGTTCTGTGTGGGAAGTTTGGCCCAATTCCGTCCTTGGTGGGGTTCAGAATGCTCTTTGATTGTAGATGAACTATAAATCCCAGTAACTACAACTCCCAAATGTCAAGGTCTATTTCCAGCCAAACTCCGTCTGTGTTCGTATCTGGACTTATGGAATATTTGTGCCAAGTTTGGTCCAGATCCATCATTGTTTGAGTCCCTGGTGGTGCAGTGGGTTAAACCCCTGTGCCAGCAGGACTGAAGACTGATAGGTCACAGGTTCAAATCCGGGGAGAGGCAGATGAGCTCCCTCTATCAGCTCCAGCTCCTCATGCAGGGATATGAGAGAAGCCTCCCACAAGGATGATAAAAACATCAAATCATCTGAGTGTCCCCTGGGCAATGTCCTTGCAGACGCCCAATTCTCTCACACCAGAAGAAACTTGCAGTTTCTCAGGTTGCTCCTGACACGAGAAAAAACAAAACAAAACAAAAACTGCAAAAGGCCACCTGACTTGGATCTGCGCGCATCATTTGAAAATACATCACACAGCCCTAGACGCTTGGGAAGTGTTCAACTTGTGATTTTGTGATACGAAATCCAGCATATATATCTCATTTGCTGTGACATACTGTGTTTTTGTGTCAGTAAAATAATAATAATAATAACAACAACAATAACAATAGATTACCATTTGCCAGCTGCAAAAGCCCACCCTACTGGGATCTGCACACAATATTTGCCAATACATCACACAGTCCTAGACACTTGGGAAGTGTACGACGTGTGATCCAATACAACAAAAAAAAATTAAACAATCCACAGTGCTCTCTGGATGTAGGTGAACTACAATGCCCAAACTCAAGGTCAGTGCCCTTTTAGTGTTTTCTGTTGGTCATGGGAGTTCTGTGTGCCAAGTTTGGTTCAATGCCATAA